ATTTTCTGTTATTTTTTTTTTGTTAGGTAATTTTTTGATAAATGTATAGGTTCGCTTCAAGTTAATTAAAAATAATTGAACAAATTATCGTTTTTTTTTTTTTTAATTTTTCTTGTTACCTACCTGATATGAAGCTCGTAGGAAAAAGGCCGATACACCGATATACCGATATGCCATATCGGTATCGGTCGATCCCTGCCTGAAAGTTTCGAAAATTTCATAGTAGATACATCAAACGTACAAATTATTGTTAAAAGTTCTCGATTTTATTGTCTTCAGAATAAGGCACATTATTTCAGAATTAGTTTTTTTTTTTAAATCAATAAATAAATAAGATTTATTTCTAAGAGTACCTAATTTATATTAAAAAAAAATTACTCGATTTGTTTTTAATACCAGGTGTTGCAGAAGAAATATTATCAAATATTGGTGTTAAAATTTACATTACAGGTATATTCCTTCTATCTCGTAGAAAAAATAGTGTTGCTAACTCGTGCGGAAAGTCTCTTTTCCTCACTTGATTGCTTGCCGAACTCCGCTACGCGTCGTTCGGCAAACTGCAATCGCGTGCGCAAAGTGTCTTTTCCGCACGCAAACACGTATCCGAACTCCGCTTCGTGTCGTTCGTATAACTGTGTTTGCGTGCGGAAAAGTAACACTTTGCGCACTTGTTAGGAAAATAAATATTTCCTACGGCCGTGCGGAAAAATCGATTTTCCGCACTGATATGCGTGCGGAAAATGAGTTTTCCCGCACGGTGCGGTAAAACTTTTACCGCACGCATATCAGTGCGGAAATAGTTATTTACCTAACAAATGCGGAAAGTGATACTTTACCGCACGCAACGGCAGTTGACCACGACGCGAAGCGGAGTTCGGTCAAGCCGTTAAGGGCGGTAAAGGCACTTTCCGCATGTGTTAGGTACAAAATTTTACCTATGAGCATCTACATCTCCAAAATAGGCATTGATAAAATTAATTAATGAATCAGATTAATTAATGAAATAAGATTAAATTTAGAAATGATCAAAAATCCATTTTCTGAAAAAGAAAGGAATTTTAATTATAAATATCAAATTCTACTTTACCGCAAACTATGCGGTAAAGTGCACTTTACCGCACACTTTGTAGTCCACTTTACCGCATACTATGCTGTAAAGTTAACTTTACCGCACACTATGCTGTAAAGTTAACTTTACCGCATAGTGTGCGGTAAAGTGATACTTTCCATTTTCAAATACGTGCGGTAAAGTGCACTTTACCGCACGCTCGTAGGTAAAAGTTTTTTCCGCACAGCTGTCAGTGCGGAATAGTTATTTACCTACCTAACAAATGCGGAAAGTGATACTTTAAGGGCGGTAAAGGTACTTTCCGCATGTGTTAGGTACAAAATTTTACCTATGAGCATCTCATTTCCAAAAAAAGGCATTGATAAAATTATTTAATGAATCAGGTTAATTAATGAAATAAGATTAGATTTAGAAATGATCAAAAATCCACTTTCTGTAAAAGAAAGGAATTTTGATTATAAATATCAAATTCTACTTTACCGCACACTATGCGGTAAAGTGCACTTTACCGCACACTTTGTAGTCCACTTTACCGGATACTATGCTGTAAAGTTAACTTTGCCGCATAGTGTGCGGTAAAGTTAACTTTACAGCATAGTATGCGGTAAAGTGCTACTTTCCATTTGCAAATACGTGCGGTAAAGTACACTTTACCGCACGCTCGTAGGTAAAAAATTTTACCGCACTGATATGTTAAAAAAAAAGAAAAATTTTACATTTTTACGCCTGTAGGAAAAATAATGTACCTAACACTTGCGGAATAGTATATTAAAATACAAGTTGCAGAAGGCCACATATTCCCGCGCGAATTCGAAATTTGGCCACGAGCGACGAAGTAGCGAGTGGACGAACGAATGAGTGCGAGAATAGCCTTCTGCAACGTGTGTTTTATACTATTTTCTCGATTTTGGATTTTATTTTTCATTTTTTTAAAAAAAATTATGAACTCTGTTAGTTGGGGATTTTTTATTTTCAAAATATGTCAGTTGGTGACACTTACTTACCAACCAACTGACAGGTGGATTCTATCATTTTAGAAGGTTTGACAATTTTGAAGGTACCAATAGGTATACTTTGATAACTAAATGTCACTAAAAATCGTTGAAGAATGAGCTTCATTCTTCAACGATTTTGCGTGCGGGAATAATGAAATTCTCACATCAAAATCGAGAATAGTATATTAAGCAACAAGTTTAGTAAAGTCAGGTTTTACCAATTCAGTGTGGCCAGTTTTGTGTACGAGCGGGCGAAGCGAGCGAGTGCTCTAAGGCCTCACGATATTGGTAAAACCCTTTGCAAATGCGTTGCTTATACTATTTTATCGCATTTTGTCTTCAAATAATTGAGAAATGTTCTTATTTTTGACAAGACAACATAATTTTTGAAATCATAACAGACCTGTGCCTGGTGGCCCATGCCTGGCTGGTTTTTATTTTCGGTAACTTAGAAACCAGTGATATTATTCAAACAAAAAATCCACAGAACACATATCCTCACGGATAGAAAAAAAAGCTTAATGGAGGGCGGGGCCTGAAAAAAAAAGCTTCGGATCGCATCCGCTTGGGGACGCTGGAGTGAAACAGAACTACAGGTGCGGAATGAACGCCACCAGAAAATATGTCACAGTTTACTTTGGCAGTATTTTTAAAAAATATGTCAATACAGTTGTGAATGAGAATTCGTCTTGGTGTTGGTGTGCAGAATGTATACAAAACACAAGAAGTTTGGCCGTTTTTGCTCTACTCGGAACAAAAATCCGTCAATATTCAATAATGAGGAAAAAGGTTTGTTTGGACTTCAGTTCAAAATCAGTTCTAAATTGGACTGCGCTTGCGCATTTGGTCATATCAAACCTATATAAAGAAATGCGAAAGCGTACTTTAATTCTGAACTGAAGTCCGAACAAATCTAATGGCGTTTCCGATTGGTAGATCTAGTGCGAAACTAGTGCATCTTTTTCTATTTCTATCTTTTTCTTCTACAGGTCGTTTTAAAGGATGCAAATACACTCAATGCGCACTGAATCTACCAATCGGAAACGCCATAATATTGAAAATATTGACATTGGAAGAACTATTTTGAAAGCTGATTTGATTACAGAAACCTTTATTATAAATAGTTCGGATCGCATCCACCGCGCCGTGACGGCGTATTGTTCCCCAAAATTCTATTAGGCAGTTTGCCTTCTATCCGTTAGGATATGTATTCTGTGAAAAAATCAGAAAGAATTTTTGGAACCGTGTCCAGTCTATGGCGTCCAGTGAAATGAATCCGAAGATTTTGGAAGCAGCTCGTGCTGCTATAGCAAGGCTGCTGCCTGAGAAATCAAAATCAAAGTATGAGAAAGAATATGACCAATTCCGTCAATGGAAATTAATGAATAACGTGGAAGAAGTGCCAAATGAGGACCTCATGTTGGCATTTTTGTTATGAAAAGGTAAATCAATTAAATATAACTGTTTCAAATCCTGTGTTCATAAGATATTTTTTCCTAAATTTTGATAGAAATTTGAAATACAAATTTAGTTTTCATGACATTGACATTGTCAAGGTTTAAGGTTATTCTACACGACACTTTAAAGAACGTTCGCTTTTTATTGTTTCAGGCGGGGTTGTCCTGGATCAACATTCCGATTCGTCTATCCGGCAAACGCAAAAAAATAGAAGTTAATAATTATATTATCAATTTTTATAATAACCAGAAATAAAATAACTATTTCCTATTTTTAATTTATTTGATTGGCGTGAAATTGCGAAATGCTGCAATTTCGCACACTGTGAATAAGGCTTAACAAATGAAAATTGATTTACAAAATGATTGCTATCAATGACGTTGCTATAGGCGATTTTCAGCCTGGAATGATAATTATTTGGTTTTAACCAATCCATTTCCGCGGTCGCGGTTTTTACCAAAGTAGGGGAAGCTGTGACGTCACAGATCAGTTGATTTGCTTTTGGCATTTACCACTTATAACCGATTATAACCCACCTTTGGACTTGGGTTAATCTTTTGGTTATAGTTTTTTGATGTTATTGTGATTATTTTCGGGAATGATATTGGTGTTTTGTGATTTTGCGGTTGTGTTGTGACCAGGCACAATGGAAGAAGTATGCACCTCCGTTACTCACTGCAACTCATCATGCTTAGATCGAGATTTAGTTCATATCCCCAAAAAAATCTCTTCGATAAACGAGACTTACGAGAAATTCCGCTCCATTTTTTGTACCTCTAAACAACAAACTATTGTTGAAACGGAACAACAAATAAAGAATAATAAACATAACCCTACACTCTTATAACCAAATCATTTCAGCGGTCACTTCCTTGGGTTAAGATTCTTGAGTGGTGAAGGGCTATGACGTCACACTTGGCTGTCAAAGTTGTCAACCAAAAGAATAACCACGGTATTTACCGAAAAATAATCATTCCAGGCTGAAAATCGCCTTATGTGGTAAAGTGTTGCTATCGAGGTAAAGTGGCACTTTACCACTCAATTTTGAATGCAGTTATATATCACATTACTGTCAAAAATGCGATAAAATTCATTTTCCGCACTTGTTAGGTAAATAGCTATTGTCATCAAATGTCATTATTATACGAGGGTCAACCTGTCAAATTTCCATGGATAATGCTACGCCAATAATAAGTGAAAAGCATACGTTTTTGTAATCAAAGCAATCTTTGATTGGTTTTTTTTTTTGAACACCCGCTATAATTGGAAGTGGATAAAGGTCCGCGAGTCGACGAACTCTCTCTCTCTCCCTCTCTCATTGAAAAAAAAAAATTAAATTATATAATTTTCTTCATAATTCATAAGGATGACTTTTATAGGAATGAACAAAGCCATCTCGTTGTTCCTGGAAAGCAGATACAAACTTATTGGTCAAAGGTGGATAAAATGTTTCCTGGACCAGAAATAAAAACCAAATATATTATTTATTAAAGAAACATTTTTATTACCCTACTATTTACAAAAATACATTCATTACCTAATACAATAATAATTTCTTGACTTGCTATACAACGTTGGTCTAGTTACAGGTTACGCAGCAATAAGTGTAAACAATTAAAAAAAAACACGTAATATAAGTACACAATAATTTAAAAAAAAAGAAACATCAAGCCATACTACTTATTAAACACATCGGTAAGTATTCTGTTTTAACGAGCGAATTTCATTGTTGCATGTAGATTATACAAAATTTTAAAAAATATATCTACAATCCGTTAAACAAAGAACTTCTAAAATAATCCTTTCAAATTAGAACGTCTTTATTGCCTAATTCGTTTCAAATGTGTTTACTTTTAAAATCAACTTACGTACCTATTTTAGTCTGTTTTCTGTGAAATGCAGTACCTCCCTAACATTATTTAATAATACTTTCTCCGCAAAAACTATGAAACATTAAATATGAAATGGATACGTGCCCGATACGTTTTATTTATACATACATTAGTATGCTACTAGAGTAACAAAACATGAATGATCGCTACCGTTATGTAAAGGCGGCTTTCCTATGTTTTTGTTTTGTAGCTTCAGGGCTTCGAACTGGTTTATCGATATTAAAGGATTAGCAGTACTGACAATTTTAGCTAAGTTTATGTAATACAAATATCAAGTTTTTTGTTGCGTCTGGTTTATCTCATTCGAAGAACTATAATTAAACACGCCAACATAGCTAAAAAGTTACTATAAAATTTACTTGAATCATTATAAAATCCTCCGTAAACTTGCAACCCTGCAGTTTCTATACTTTGTTTGCAATAGTCGCCATCGTAAAGCCATCCAACGTACTCTCCAGTTCTGAGATTCTCATTTCTGAGCCAATCTTCTAATGGACCGAAATATTCTCTGAGAGCGCTGCCATCTAATCGACTTTCTCCTGTCGCTTGGAATAGAACATCTCGCCAGGATTGAGATGAACCTTTCTCCATAAGTTGCCTGAAACAATTATGTAAATTAGTGTTGTTCCTTTAAAGCGCCGCTTATACAATTCCGACAAACAAAGTTACTAGTATTCTTTGCGTATAATGACAAGGAAGCCACCGAAACTACCGCATATTTGCCGTGTCTTCATGTTGTAACAGCTTTAAAACGTATAATTTGATAGAACCGATTAGATATTGTTAGTTTATTGTTGGAATAATGTATTATTCTCGAGAAAATTAACTTTTACAGCAGAATAGTAGGTATCTAATAGTAATTATTAGAACAGCTCTATAGGCATATAATCTCGATGCAAAACAAAAAGTGGCCAACAATAAAGTTACTTCACTTTCATTGCGTTATTTTTACTTGTGAACTAAACCATGCTTATTATTTGTTTTATTAATAGTTATTTCAGATTTAAGTTGCTAGTATACTCTAACCAGCTTTTCTTGTCAACCTCAATTCACATCCTTCATCTAAGCTGAATCATATCCAGCCTTTTTTTTAACAAGACTAGCGTTTCTTCCCAGTTGAAAGACCTAAACTCTTCAATCAATCAATTTTGGAGTTTTCTGCGTAAGATTCTCCGTAATCCTTCTTACTCCAATCCAATAGAAATAAGGAACTGTCTAGAGTCCCGAACGCGGGATCGCTAGAAAAAAGCAAAATCCCGAAGAGGCGTGGTTAACGGCGTTCGGGACTTCCCAAAAATTATTCGAATCCCGACCTCGGGACTGTTGTAACAGAAGTAAACTCCCGACTTATAATTTTAGCAGACAATTAATAGAAAAACATGGTAGCAAAAAAACAAATATCGTGTATTTCTAGTAGGTAAACAAAATGAAAAAGAAACTTTGACATCTCATTTTCATTTTGTAGATCTTTTCTTCTTTTTAGGTGGCAGGCCTATCACCGTTAAATGTAAAATTCTTGCCTCTAGGTCTGCCTCGACTTTTATTAGGGTTCTGAAGTTTATTTTCATTAAATTGCAAATATATACTAATAACAATAAATTAACACTTACTGGTAAAAAAAAATTTTTCAAAGGGTTTTGCCCTTGCCGATCGCTGTGTATTTTGTGTCGTATTTTATTTCTCCTGCTCTTCCTAACTGTTGATCTTGTTTATCCTTTCTGCCTGCTTGATGCCTCATAATTTTCAACAGGGGTAGGTATCAACAGGGCTGCTGATCTTGTTCATCATAGTCCATGTGGATCTCATATTTTCGATAGGGGTAACAACGACAACTTGTTCATGATTTGGGATTATTTCAAAATTTTCGGACTGCTGCTCTCGCTTGTTCATCATAGTCCGGAATCTCATAAGTCTCGATAGTGGTATCAACAACGACTTGTTCATGATTAGGGATTATTTCATAATTTCATCTTATATCAGGTTTAGGTTTATCTTTAACTGTCTTGGGGCATGATGCTTCGCGGATGTGATAGTTTTTGCATCCCGTTTCCAAAATTGCACCCTATTTTCTTTCTCATATAAATTAATAGCATCTTGTAATTCTTTATATGAATAAAATTTGTCATTTGTATTTAACCCCACAATAAAGGATACAAATTTTCAGCCAAAACTGTCCAAAACACAGAGCAGTTGGCTAATCTATTCTAGGTGTATAGGATTAACAAATAATACATGAACAATTATTACGCATTCGGGATTTTACTTTTCTTGCCATGTTCCCGAAGTCGGGATTAGAAATATTTTTGGAAAGTCCCGAACGGCGTTATTGAGCCACGCCTCTTCGGGATTTTGCGTTTTTTTAGCGATCCCGCGTTCGGGACTCTAGACAGTTCCTAGAAATAAATAAAACACAGCTTCGATACATGAGTAATTAAAACTGGTACTTTAATTCATCTTGATGTACAAAAAAGAGAAGGGAACGAACAGAGTAGGTACGATGATTATTCTGCAGAAAATGAACTAAGTAATAACCAAAAAAATTTATTGTCTAACACAAAACTAAAATGTTACAATTCTCTCGTTTCCCTTTCTCCATTATTTGAATGCATTTATTGTACCTATATTTTTCTAAGCAGTTAGCACATAGTCTAAACAACTAAATGCACATTATTCTTTGCCAAGTGCATGACAAAAGAAAAGTGAATTGACACACATCATCACGTAATCGCTATAGAAATTGCCATTGAAGATCACGTCTATTGTTAATTGTTTACCAGTGTTGATTGCCGATTAGCTCCGGGTCGATGGAATTGACGAGATAAAGCAGAGGCTTTTGCATAGTTCTATTAGTTAGCATTTAAATCCGTTTTGTAATTAAATGTTCACATTAAAAGATACATAAATTGATGTAATAAAACTTAACGACTTAAGGAAATATGATTGACATTTTCTAATGATGCAAAATTTAGCCCATTAAATTAACTTAAAACAAACGGGCCTAATATGACTTAACGCCCATTAATTAATACGACAGGTTTATGATTGCGTTGAAGTGAGTGATTTTTCGGCGTTAAAATCTTGTTTGATTACTTTCAATCATCCCGTCCACTTTCCTTATGGCCTGTGAATTTTAAGTAGCTGTACGATAAATCACTGATCCATTTCCTTTCACAAACGTGACTCGGCTTACCTAATCGATTAAAATTGTTTCGATCGTCCAGAATTTGATTTTTGCACAATAAAATTCTAATATAATCTACATATCGTTACCCATGATAATATGGTTTACAATGATATTGGAAACAGAAACAACAAAAACTGACAGCAAACACTGATCCTAACGATGACATTAATTACTACAATATCATAGCAGCAGTTCATTTCACGTTTTGTTAGATACGCTCTTGACCTCGACCGAAATCACTCCAAGTATGGTCCATAAAAGACAGGAAAAGCACAATTTGATCTTGATTTTTTTGTAATTTTTACGAGCAATAAGCAATTGATTGCATAATGTCGACAAAATGCACCAGACTATACATAATGGTATTATGTTATACCACTGGTGGGTTGTATTTGTACGCGAAAGTAATTTGATTATGTAAAGGAAAAGCTTTTGGTCCCAGAGTACAAACTTACTGGTCACTTTGCTTAGTAACGATTTCTTGAAGTGGAATAAGTGATGTATTAAATAACAGAAGTTTTAAGGGAATTGTGTTTTAATACCTATAAAGCAATACCAAATTTAATAATAGATATCAAATTAGGTATAAAGTGGCCAGGAGAACTACTAAAACCATTGGAAACTTACTGATCTACAAAATTTGTGCTTAATACACAATACACAAGATTAAGCCTAGTCAATTTTGTGACCTTTCCATCTGCTTTGAACAGCAATTCAATTTCCACTGATTGCAAACTCTCAGGAGGAAAAGTTGCTCTAAAAGCAAATATCAGTTGACTATCACGAAACTGCCGCCGTAGATTGGGTGTATGATTTGAAAGGAGAGCCTTTACCCAGCACGTAGACGCGCATGTGGCCCATTGTGCGATCCCTCTCTTGGTGCAGCCCTGTCTTGCCTTAGGAGCCCGCAAATTTTAAGAAAGGTGCAGACCCGCTCAGTTCGAACATGCTTTATTTTGTCAGGTTCCAGAAACCTGTACCCGAGGTATCGTAGTCTGCGACTGACGAAGACGTCACATTTGCAGACTATATGCTTAGTAGTTTCATCTACTTCGCAGCAGAACCTGCATTCCGTCTCATTACTGCGTCCGATTTTATGCAGGTGGTATCTGACTACACGGTGTCCCGTCAGGACGCCTGTGATGGCTCTTAATTGACTCCTCTTTAGTTTTGGGAGGCTTTCTGCGTCTTTGCAGTTTGAAGGACCTCGTAAAACGATCCTTGACTGAGGCCACTTTGATCCAGCTATTCGTCTTGGAACTGGTTGTTGGACCAGTTCCTGATCTTCGTTTTCACCAGGCAGGAAGCAACGCCAAGTGCGCGCGCCAGCTTGTCCGTCTCCTGGTTGCCTTTTATGCGCCTGTGATCCGGGACCCAAATAAGGGTCGCCTTGTTTAGCCCAGTAGTTCTAGGATCGTCATACAGTCAAGCATGAGCCTTGAGTTGACTTGCTCTGAGTAGAGGGCTCGAAGTGGTCGCTACTTATTATACACACAACAAAAAAAGGTTTGCACCGTCCTGTAATATAACCAAAGAATACTCATCGATAAATAAAAATATTGTTATCTTCAACTATAGAATGTGTCCAGTACCTTCACTAAAAAAGGTTTAAGAATCTGAATTTGTTCACTATTTTTACATCGATAATTTTTTAATTTAGATATTGCTGAATACATAAAATGAGATGGTGCAAAACTTTTTTTGTTGTGTATATAAATATGTTATGTCCGTGGTAGGAATAACACTGAGTACAGCAACACGAATAACACTATCTTATGTAACTCTTTATTTTCTATGAGAACAAGACATACAACATACATTAACGGTGAATACACTGGAAACTGATTGAACGTGTTAAAAATAACTGGAGTTAAAACCATGACAACTAGCAAAACATTATATGACAATTAGGAAAACAACTGACAATTAGGAAAACCTATTTCAACTCGGAGAACATTCCTTCTTGTCAAGCGTGTCTCCTTTTTTTAGTTTATTCCCAGTGTTGCCACTGTTGACAGTCCAATACAAAATACCCGAGTAATCTCTGTGGAGATTGGATATACACCAGATCCTGCACCCTCTTCCATCAAACATCCATCTGTGTACGAGATGAGCCCCTTCGGCTTGAAGATGCCCGAGTCAGACTCTAGCCAGTCGTCCCTTGCAGAAATGACGACCTAGTATTTTCTAGGGGAGACTCAAGTTTCGAAAATGTAGCGTCACAACATTTGGCATTCGTTGATCTTAAAAAGGCTTTTGCTCGAAAAATTATCACTAGGAGATATCTATAACAACTCAATAATGCAAGTCTAATAGAAGACCCAAAGAAAGCCAATAGCTGGTGATGTAATGTCTAGTCACCATTACAGCGCATAGTAACTTCTGGATCTTTCCAGTATATAATTCTATATAAA